GATGTAGCTTCTAGATGTTTTATTGTATTCACACAATGATGTAACTTCTAGATGTTTTATTGTATTCACATAATTATGTAATTTACATATTAATGTGTTCAAAGCCCGGAGCAGTATGAAGGGGTTCTCAGGTCCAAGTCTTGGAGACATGAAGGGGTTCTCAGGTCCAAGTCTTGGAGACATGAAGGGATTTTCAGGTCCAAGTCTTGGAGCACTATGAAGGGGTTTTCAGATCCAAGTCTTGGAGACATGAAGGGGTTTTCAGGTCTAACTCTTGGAGCTGCATGAAGGGGTTCTCAGGTCCAAATCATGGAGAACAGAACTTCCTTCAGAACTTTTAAAGAGTTGGTCGGTACTATGAAACCCGCTCAGCTCCACAGCTCGCAAAAATAAGAATGTTTAGAGGGTCTCAGGACAATTTGTAGACAGGACGGAAATGAAGTCAGTCGCCACTAACGAGACAGACGACCCTTAGAGTACACTAAATATTTGAAGCTAGTTTATAAACAATTGTCAAACCGAACGCTGAGTTAACAGCGGTGTCACCGCGGGGACAAGCATATTAGCCGGTGTGTAACAACAAACCACGTGCACAAAATGATCAGTAGCATTACGAATAACTTTAGTGTGAGAATTTGGAAACTAAAAATATACTTGTCGAGAACAAAGGTGTCCTGTCTAAATTACATTAAGTAACTAATGAACAAAGGTGTCCTGTCTAAATTACATTAAGTAACTAATGAACAAAGGTGTCCTGTCTAAATTACATTAAGTAACTAATGAACAAAGGTGTCCTGTCTAAATTACATCAAGTAACTAATGAACAAAGGTGTCCTGTCTAAATTACATTAAGTAACTAATGATAAGCAAGGTTAGTTTACGTTGAAGTTAGATAAAACATACAGTTCGTGAGGTGGTTAGTAAGATTAGTTTACGTTGAAGTTAGATAAAACATACAGTTCGTGAGGTGGTTAGTAAGATTAGTTTACGTTGAAGTTAGATAAAACATACAGTTCGTTAGGTGGTTAGTAAGATTAGTTTACGTTGAAGTTAGATAAAACATGCAGTTCGTGAGGTGGTTAGTAAGATTAGTTCACGTTGAAGTTAGATAAAACATACAGTTCGTGAGGTGGTTAGTATGATTAGTTCACGTTAAAGTTAGATAAAACATACAGTTCGTTAGGTGGTTAGTAAGATTAGTTTACGTTGAAGTCAGATAAAACATACAGTTCGTGAGGTGGTTAGTAAGATTAGTTTACGTTGAAGTTAGATAAAACATACAGTTCATGAGGTGGTTAGTAAGATTAGTTCACGTTGAAGTCAGATAAAACATACAGTTCGTGAGGTCTGATGTCTCCAAAATACCGCCAGATAGAGAATATTAAAAACCAAAACAAAAAACGTTCATCTAATCTAGGAATAATGTAATCTCGAACCAAATCATAGTGGATAGCATTACATGTCATCTCCAACTCTCGTGTTATAATACACGTATCGAACACAAGAAACTGACGCAATATAGATAATGTGTTTTTATCTCGTGTTATGTATAAAAAATGAAGGTAAGAAAGACGGTGAGATTAAACTTTGTCGTACTCTGCTTTCACACGTTGTAGCGGAAAGAAAGGCGTACAACCTCTGTATGTTCATCTCTCTATCTATATATTTCATTATTTGATATTTCCTTGCAGGTTTATTTATATATTTCTGCTACCCAAGTCTTGCAACACCGAGTTTTAATATATTCAGGACAACACTTGAAACACGTGCTTTTATCTTGTACGGACCAGTCCTTAAAATATGTAGCTTTATAGCATTATTACTAGTCCTTAAGATGTGTAGTTTTATCTTGTTTGGACCAGTTCTTATGATGTGTAGTTTTAACTTGTTCGGACTAGTTCTTAAGGTGTGCAGTTTTATCTCGTTCGGACTAGTTCTTAAGATGTGTAGTCTATGAACAATGTTGTATTACCTTGTTCTGAACAGTCTATGAACAACGTTGTATTACCTTGTTCTGAACAGTCTATGAACAATGTTGTATTACCTTGTTCTGACCAGTCTATGAAACGTGTTGTATTACCTTGTTCTGAACAGTCTATGAACAATGTTGTATTACCTTGTTCTGACCAGTCTATGAACAACGTTGTATTACCTTGTTCTGACCATTCTATGAAACGTGTTGTATTACCTTGTTCTGAACAGTCTATGAACAATGTTGTATTAGCTTGTTCTGAACAGTCTATGAACAATGTTGTATTACCTTGTTCTGACCATTCTATGAACAATGTTGTATTACCTTGTTCTGACCAGTCTATGAACAATGTTGTATTACCTTGTTCTGACCAGTCTATGAAACGTGTTGTATTACCTTGTTCTGACCAGTCTATGAACAACATTGTATTACCTTGTTCTGACCAGTCTATGAAACGTGTTGTATTACCTTGTTCTTACCAGTCTATGAACAATGTTGTATTACCTTGTTCTGACCAGTCTATGAAACGTGTTGTATTACCTTGTTCTGACCAGTCTATGAACAATGTTGTATTACCTTGTTCTGACCAGTCTATGAACAGTGTTGTATTACCTTGTTTTGACCAGTCTATGCAACGTGTTGTATTACCTTGTTCTGACCAGTCTATGAACAATGTTGTATTACCTTGTTCTGACCAGTCTATGAACAGTGTTGTATTACCTTGTTTTGACCAGTCTATGCAACGTGTTGTATTACCTTGTTCTGACCATTCTATGAACAATGTTGTATTACCTTGTTCTGACCAGTCTATGAACAATGTTGTATTACCTTGTTCTGACCAGTCTATGAACAATGTTGTATTACCTTGTTCTGACCAGTCTATGAACAATGTTGTATTACCTTGTTCTGACCATTCTATGAACAATGTTGTATTACCTTGTTCTGACCAGTCTATGAACAATGTTGTATTACCTTGTTCTGACCAGTCTATGAACAATGTTGTATTACCTTGTTCTGACCAGTCTATGAACAATGTTGTATTACCTTGTTTTGACCAGTCTATGAAACATGTTGTTTTATAGTTTTAACTTACGTTGACAAAAATAAAATTTTTGATGAATATTTATAACATGAAATTTTCTATTATTTAAGTAACTGGTCATTTTACACTCGTGTTACTCACCTCCAAATTCTGGACGAAGTTTTCGGTCATATTTCTCCTCCGAAAGAAGTGTATCCAAAAGTAGCGAAGTATTAACTAAGATATCTGTTCGAGGGGGAGTCGACCCTACGCTGAAATATATTGAGTTTTGAGCTTTTTTAAAAAAAAACTTCCCTTACATTAACATGTTTATTTATTTTTATAAAATTGCACAAAGGTCAAAAAACGTTTTAAAATTGACTGGAGAAAGCTTCCTTTGTTAAATAACAACAAATATTCGAGAAATTTGTTGGTATGAGAAAATAGGAATTAAAGAAATAATTGAAACCATTTTAAAGAAATTATGTCAAACCAAGTTTAAGGTTATTTAGTTAAAGTTATACCATATTACGTCTAAGGTCGCTTGCTATTAGGTATACTATATCAAGTCGAAGGTCGCTTGTTATCAGATCAAGTCTGCAGTAATTGGCTACAAGCGATAACATATAAATTATAAATCGCTTACTGATAGTTATGTCAGATCGACTCTTAAGTTAGTTCATACAAGGCACAAGGATATAAACGGAGACAGACGTACAGTTATACAAGGTTAAGACTGAGACAGATCTACTATAAGTTATACAATGTGGAACGATAACAGCTATACGAGGTTAAGACTGAGACAGACCTACTATAAGTTATACAAACTGGAACGATAACAGTTATACAAGACTAATACTGAGACAGACCTACTATAAGTTATACAAGCTGGAACGATAACAGTTATACAAGGCTAAGACTGAGACAGACCTACTATAAGTTATACAAGCTGGAACGATAACAGTTATACAAGGCTAATACTGAGACAGACCTACTATATGTTATACAAGCTGGAACGATAACAGCTATACGAGGTTAAGACTGAGACAGACCTACTATAAGTTATACAAACTGGAACGATAACAGTTATACAAGACTAATACTGAGACAGACCTACTATAAGTTATACAAGCTGGAACGATAACAGTTATACAAGGCTAATACTGAGACAGACCTACTATAAGTTATATAATGTGGAACGATAACAGTTATACAAGGTTAAGACTGAGACAGATCTACTATAAGTTATACAATGTGGAACGATAACAGTTATACAAGGCTAATACTAAGACAGACCTACTATAAGTTATACAAGCTGGAACGATAACAGTTATACAATGCTAATACTGAGACAGACCTACTATAAGTTATACAAGCTGGAACGATAACAGTTATACAATGCTAATACTGAGACAGACCTACTATAAGTTATACAAGCTGGAACGATAACAGTTATACGAGGCTAAACATAGTTTCTGTAAATTATAACACAGCTATCTCCTTTAAAATGAAGTTGTCTGCTATATTATAAAACCCATTTCGTTAACAAGAACAGTTAATTCTTTAGAGATTGGATTGATTATTTATTTGTTTATTATCATAAAATAAATGACTAAACATTTCAGATGAGCTGTTGAAAGGATGAAAATCTTAACTGCTTTCACTTTAGTTACTAACCTGATAACCATAAATGCTAGAAAACATGTTTATTCATGTTTAAAATCATAAAAACATGCTTATTCCAGTGACTTGAAGAGAAACATTCGGAGATGAGTGTTTTTTCTCTAATCAAATGCCATTTATAAAATGTTTTTGATTTATTTTTAACACGAAAAAAATTTATTCGCGACGGCAAAAACTTCCACTACGGGTCACAAGAGGGCTCAACAATCACATCTACTACTGGCCATAAGCGGACGTAATAACCGCTTCCACTTCCGGCCACAAGAGAGCGTAATAAGCACTTCTAGTACTGACCACAAGAGGACCTAACAATTCCACTACTGGCCACAAGAGAGCATAACAAGCACTTCCACTTCTGGCCACAAGAGGGCTCAACAATCACATCTACTACTGGCCACAAGCGGGAGTAATAAGCACTTCCACTTCCGGCCACAAGAAAGCGTAATAAGCACCTCTACTACTGACCACAAGAGAATATAATAAGCACTTCCACTTCCGGCCACAAAAAAAGCTTAATAAACATTTCTACTAGTGACCACAAGAGGGTGCAACAGTCACATCTACTACTGGCCACATGCGGGAGTAATAAGCACTTCCACTTCCGTACACAAGAAAGCGTAATAAGCACCTCTACTACTGGCCACAAGAGGGCGCAACAATCACGTCTACTACTGGCCACAAGCGGGAGTAATAAGCACTTCCACTTCCGGCCACAAGAAAGCATAATAAGCACCTCTACTACTGACCACAAGAGGACGTAACAGACATTTTTATTACTGGCCACAAGAAGGCTCATTCGAAGGACAGCTGGTTTTCGTGTTGAAGCTTCTACCACACTTTTTCGTTGTTCCTTTCTCTGGTGAGCTCAAGCTATCAGCTTATGCTAATGTTAATTGTATTCTTACAAGGGCACTGATTTCGGTGTATCATACTTGTCAGAAGCAGACTGCTATTGATTAATGAACAAACCGTTGATTTATGTCTTGTCTACTTATTACAGTAGGAAGGAAATGGAAAATAAAGATGTACTTTTAGGTTCTTGTTCTCTTCATTAAACTACCGTATTTTTCGGTGTATAAGACGCACCCCGAAATTTGATGTCAAAATCTGCTTGCGTCCTATACACCGAAGGTATAAATAATATATATGTATATATATGATATACACAAGCCATGTGTAAATATATTTAAATAGACATGCATA